AGGGCCAGGTTAATGGCGTCGTCTACAGATCTGTTGGCTCTGTAGGCGAACTGCAGGGGGTCCAGGAGGGGGGAGGTGAGGGACTTGAGATGGGAGAGAACCAGGCGTTCAAATGACTTCATGACGAAGTCATTTGGTGGCAATAAAAGATTTATGCATTGGCAACTACGATTCAAAATACTAATCTCCACATTGCCGTAATAACACTTTGATATTTACCCTTTCCGCCTTAAAGTATTTCCAGTGACAAATATACAGCATGTTCAGCAAAGACACTCCCAGCTTTTCACTCTCTCATTATCTCCCAGTGCTGCTATCTTTGCACATCGCTCTCTGCAGACAGTTCCAACACCAAGCAAGCACGAGAGACAGGCGCACAGAGACGACACATGGGTAAATCTTAAAATTGTACAAACATATTAATTAAAGTGTAGATATAAAAGGGCCATGCACATTGAGACAGACAAGAGGTAAGCATAAAAAACAGTACTCTAACTTTTGAAATTATTAGGGCCAATGAGTGTTAGGGTTCAGGAAGATAGGGCATTTCAATGGAAAATAGTATAGTTAGTAGGTAATGTTTATTTATATGGCATCCTTCATCACATTTAGAACATTTGAATAACGTTTATTGATCCTCTAAAGACACCGTAGTTCAAAAATACTGATTTAACATATTCATAAGTTATATGTGAGGGTTTGTTGTTCGTATGCACATTTATACAAATCATATAAAAAGCGTTGTCTGGATTTGTTCGATCTGGAAGAACTGGAAAATAAACCAGGTCTTCCTTTTTCTTTACTTAGTGTGTAAATGTTCTACACACTGTACAGACACTTTCTGCCACATTTGCAGTGTGATTGGAGGATTAGGTAGACCCTCAGACTACATATAGTGACTATAGTTCTCTTTACTAAATGTGCCATAATGCCTAGTGATTTTTGTCTTTGCAATTAATATTATTTTCAGATTCAGAAAAGGCCACTTTCTGTATGAACTGAGGTGATTCTGTGAGATTATAGGAAAAAGAGCCACAGTAGAAGGCTCTCACAATATGTCAAGGCTGCTCTCTAGTGGGCTAATAGTGGCAGTACGTTTTTTATTCCTCAACGTCCATAAATATATTACATGTATTTTCTTATAGATGGCTTCACAAACAATAAACTCATAAACTCAAAAGAAAGAAACTGGAATCGACTATAAAAATGTGTGTGTGATCAAAGATGCTTTATGTGGCATTATTCATGTTCCAGGATCCACATAGGGCTGGCTGGTTATGACAGGCTGCGTTCAGTCTTTGCATGTATGTGGATAATATCTGAGCACGGCTTGTGTTTTTTAATGACAGGGAAGGTCTGAACATGGGGCAGACTCTGCATCCTTCAGAGTTAACCATCTGCCACTCCTTTAATTAAAAACAGAGCTTTTTGGAGATCTTTACTGATAATTACTATACAATCTCAAGTTTCCTGTCTCTGTTTATCTATTCTTGCTATCATAGTCTACAAAATACAATAATATAAATTTTAATACATTTTTCACACGCTGTAAAAGTTGGTTTTGCACAATGTCTTCTTTACAAAATGTTCTTGTCTGTTGGCCAACCACAGTTCACCACAACAGAAAGCTTTTTATTTGGCCACAAAAGAACTGCAAGATAATAAAGATCAGACCTCTTAAGTTAAGGAATTATTAGCTATGCACTTGTTTCACTTGACAAAAACATGGTTAAAGAAGTGATATTTAACAGCTCTGTCATTCGCTATTGCACCTTATATGACTCTTTTGTAATGTGTAAGTTAGTAACCTGCAGTTTTTATTGGAACTGTATCTTAATATGCAAGTTATATGATTGTATTGTCAAGGACTATAGCTGGAAAGTAGCATGGTGCTAAATCTGTTGCAGCCTCTTTTTAATGCAACTGCACATTGTCCTTACTAAATTAAAGTTAACTTTAAGCTCTTTGTAAGGAATGTGTGAGCGGAGAATGCTCTTGTTCCCATGAAAAAGCTGCATTGATCCATGTGGGATGCCGTCTGCACTTCTCGGGCCAACAGGGCAGTCAGTGGTGGTAGCAACGGTGCCAAACAATAATCAAAAGAAGTGTGAGAGCAGAGCCACGCTAAGTGAACAGCAGAATCAAACCACTCAAGCAGAAGTAAGTGTTTCTCTGTTGCTCACACACAGATTTCTAAAGTAGTTCATTAGACGTGACCTCGCCGTTGACCCACAACAAGCCCAAAGCAATGATATGCCACACACATACACACGCACGGAGGAATGCTGCTTCTGGTATTGTCTTCAAGTAAAAACTCCGGCCAAGGCTGGCTGTGCTTTGAAAAACAAAATAACAGCCCTGCACTCACACACTCCCAGCCCAGGCGGCCCTTCCGTCCATTCTCCTCCACAGAGAGAGGAAGTGCAGCGGGACAAGTGTGGCCCCACTCACCCAGGCCCAGCTCTTTCCCTTCTGAATTACACTAAACACAGTGTTCCCCAAAACAATCTGTCTTTTTACTAGCTGCAAGACTAATCTAAATCTAAATCACACGCTACAATTTGCTTAAACGAGTGGCCCTCAAACCGATCCTCAAAGAGCTGTGTGGCTGTAGGTTTTCATTCCAAACAACTGGCTTAAACAGTATAGTGCAGGACAGTAATGATCACTAAAACATATTTTTCTTCCGTTGCAATTTAACCTTATAATTATCAAATCCAAGATGTTCTCACTGAAAGATCCCACTGAAAGATCTCAGCTCCTGTGGACTCACCACCTGCAGGAGGATCAGTGAGGGGCTGGTGCTCTGTGAACTGGGTGGCATCTCTGGCCACCCCCCCGACCCAGAAATGGATTAAGGGGAAGAAAATGGATGGATGGATGGATGATGTATTAAACTTGCCATCCCTGATAATTACTTTAAATATTTTCCATTTTCTCTAGAGGTGTGCAGTCTTAAATGTGTTTAAAATGTAAACTTTAAACAGAATAATACAATTAGAAATGTAATTGAAATCCAACTTTCTGTTTTGTTCTGAATTAAACCAAATGCCATTTTCAGCTGAACGCTAGAACAAAGCATGTGACACAACCAAAGGAAATTAGAAAAAATGCACACAACTTCCTTCACTTGTGACTGGATTTGCTGCAGTGAGACAGAGGGTCATGTTTTACCAACACCTGCATCTGGTACTGAGTGTATTGACCTGATAATGAACTTTTATCAGACGAGACATTACACACACTTCTCAAACGCCTCTCACACACACTCTGACATCATCTGCTCACCATCGAAGCCATTGGTTTGTCGTTCGCCTCTGACAATCGCTCTGGAGATACTATGAATCACACACATACACACACACAGGGCGGCACGGTGGCTGAGTGGATAGCACTCTCGCCTCTCAGCAAGAAGGTCCTGGGTTCGAATCCCGGTCGGACCAGGGCCTTTCTGAGTGGAGTTTGCATGTTCTCCCCGTGTCTGCGTAGGTTTCCTCCGAGTACTCCGGTTTCCCCTACCACTAAAAATATGTCCAATAGTTCTAGCATGCGCTTCCTGTACTGGCGACCCCGCTCCCATCTCTATGTGGAGTGAGAGACAAATGCCCAAAAATTAACAATTGTAAACCGCTTTGAGACTCAGATCTGCAGTGAAAAGGCGGTATATAAATAAAAGATTACTTACTTACTTACTTACACATGGCTTAATACCAGCTCTCCAGCTTGTGAACACAGTGTAGGTTATCCAAACAGAAGGTCCTTCAAACACCATAAGTACTAATTACTATTCTGTTACTGCAGTCGAGTGTGTCTGTAGGAGGGATCATGGTAAGGTAAGTCTTTACATAGGCCTGACTCGGAACAGCTCTGCTTCAGTTTCATGTGCCATTTATTTTACTTTCATAGATAATAATTTACGATTATTTTCAATCAATTCGTTTTTTGGATCCAGAAAAGTCAATAAATATAGGACGTTTTTATACATTTCCATTTGATTATACTGATTTTACATTACGTTGATATTTGCAATACACAACCTCACTTTCTTTATGTCGGGGGATTTCTTTCCAACCAAGCAGGAGCACAACAGCACAACAACAGGAGTCTGTTGTGCTCCGGCTTGTTTGGAAAGAAAACCTGCAGCGACTCCTTTGATGGTCGGGTTGAATACCCCTGATCTACTTCATCCGGGGGTGTGTTGTTAAACCAAAGTTGTCCCACCACCAAGTCTATGTGGAAACTCCATTTAAAGTCCATCCATACATCCATCTTCTTCCCCTTGGTGATGGCAGTCAGAGCTGCACCCAGTACACAGAGCACCAGCCCCTCACTGATCCTCCTGCAGGTGGTGAGTCCACAGGAGAACGGCTGCTGTGTCTGTGAGAGCTCAGCCTTGATATTTCAGTGGGGGCTTCAGGCAAAGTGTCTTGCCCAAGGACACAGCAACATCGATGGAGTAGGTCTTGTGGTGGGCTGGACCCCACAACCTTCAGGCTCAAAGGCCAATGCTTGACCAACTGAGCCACTGTAGCCCGCCATTTAAAGTGTGCCATTGTATGTCACAATATGGAAAAGTCAATCCGTCAAAAGTCAATGATAAAGTCACCTCAATTCCCACATTCCCATCATTTTGAACAATACATCACAGTTGCCATCTATTCATTCCAACCAAACCACGTACAGCAGGGGTGTTAAACTCATTCTGGTCGGGGGACAAGTTAAAAAACAACTTTTACATATTTTTGTATTTTGACAAATTAATGGTTTGGACGTTATTCCCTAAATTAACTTCTGATTTCATATTAGTTAAAGTTTTAGAAAAGATTAAATGGTATAGTAGCCCATTACCATCAATGCTGCAAATTACTGCAATAAGGATAATTTAGAATCAATTCAGAGGCCACTAAAAATGCTCTCACTTTGGTCTTTGGTCCACGGGCCTGAGTTTGACATGACCGGCATGCATGGACATAGAAACAAAGTCGGATGAAGCCTCTTACCTTTGGCCATTTGGGGTTGATGAGTCGTGCCTTGATCGCGTCGTCCAGAGCTGTGTTGTACTGGCCAAGGCGCAGGCGGGCAGCGGAGCGGTTACTGTACAAGATGCAGTTTTGGGGATCCGCCGAAAGGGCCTCGCTGTACAAACGAACAGCCAGCTCATACTCCCCCTGCTGGCAAGCCTGGTTACTGCGACGAACCCTCTCCAAGAATTCAGCTTTATTCAGGTTCAGACCCGGTGAGGACTGGTTATCAGGTTTTTTAACTGCAGGTGATGGAAGTACGGGGGAGGAGGAAGAGGAAGAGGGAGAAGACTGGGCACCACTGGTCTTATTGTTGGAGCGGGAGCCAAAAAACAAGAACTGTGGGAACACAAACGGACTATTGTTACAACAAGGCAATTTATGAATCATATTTGTGTATGTTTTAAGTAAACAATAATAAGGGTGATTAGTATAATGTAATATATTCTATAAAACACACTTCATCAATATAAAAAAGTGTTCACAAAGAGAATATTTTTGGTATATTATTGCTGAATTACCTTTTGGGGATTGTTGCAGTTTTCTGGTTTGGATTGCAATTTTGAATATTGGTTTATTGTGACACATGTCTTGTCAATCACTGAGATCATTTATTGTATGCCTGTCTTATCCTTATAAAGAGCCATTCAGGGGAGAAGACTTATTTAATGATGTGATCCTCATCCACTACGGAATCCAACACAAACTTCGCCTCCTCACACACCAGTGTATCCATGGAAACGCCCCTGCCTCACAGAGCTTCTCACCCTCACCTCCTCAGGCCTAAAAACACCCCTGTTAAAGCGGCCTATTAGGACTTTTATGAGCTTTTATAACCCTTTCATGTTTTTTACATTTTTACATTTAATTTACTTTGATGTTTTTGTCTTTAGTTTGTTTGGACTGAATTTTAACATCATAAAAATGTTAAAAGAGGTAGACTTCGCACATCTCTTCTCTGACAGGTGCGTAGGAGTGGGCGCGCACTAGGTGGCCAAACATGAAAGAAAGGATGACACCCGCACACTGTCCAACTTGCAAACACCAGTGGTTTATTAGCAACGTTTCGGCCACAGGCCTTCCTCAGGCAAAATAATAATATTTTGCCTGAGGAAGGCATGTGGCCGAAACGTTGCTAATAAACCACTGGTGTTTGCAAGTTGGACAGTGTGCGGGTGTCATCCTTTCTTTCTTAACATCATAAAAATGAAATGTATTATTAGCGCGAGCACTTTTATTCTTAAAACTCTAGTATATACTGCCAACTGTAGCATTTTTTTAACATTTGAAAACTCACACAGTTAGTCAAACTGGGCCTTTTCTTACAATTCTTGGCTATTTCCTTTGTAGAAACTGTGACGATAGTATGAATTTTACAGTCATAAGTATTTACAATATTTACAAACCTTAGTTTACATGACGAACATGTTGGATATTTACAAATACATTTCTGTTTACAATTTCTCAGCTCGAAATGGAGTTGGAAGTAAAAAACCTAATTTCCCACCCCATAAACCTAATTCAAATACATGTGGTTGACAGTACCTAGCACCGCCCACCTACCCTGGTACAGTCAACCTCCTCCTTAGTTATTTAGCATTGAATAATTACATGACCTGGAAGCTCCCCTTGGTATTACTTTGGTTGTACAGTGAATATTTTATGACTCTTCTGCCGTGAAAATATTGCCAAAAATCGACCCAAAGACAGCTCCTCTCCGTTTCCGTCACAGCCGCACAAACCCAGAACTGGTGTTTCCAAATTTGTCCTTTCACCAGAGCGCGCACACAAGCCCTTCATTATCTCTCATTATTGCCTCTTTCTCTCTCCCTCTCACACAATGTTTTCAAACGTCTTCAATGGAAAATAGACAGCTCAAAGTGCAATGTGGATCCCTGTGTAATAAATTTAACAATTATAGTACAATGTGAAAATCAACATCAGACCTCAGAAAATGTACTACTTTGTTTTGACTAATTCAACTTGAATGTCAAAACCAGATTCCGTATAAGACATATTTACAATGCTAAAACAATTTGAGGGGAAATTAAACATGGATTTGAAACTGGATTAGTGACGTGGAAGATTTTAAAAAGGACAATCACCCAACCTTTACAATCAGTGGATTATAGGGACAAAATTGGAGTTGTATAATTTGAACATGGAAGTTGGGGTTGAATAAATGTAGATAATAATGAAAAGGGCAGGCAACATTGTATAAAGGTAGTACTCTACGTAAACATATATTTAATACAGTACTTTCCATAAACAAAGCTTTGTAGTACTACATTATAAGTACCATTTAATTGACCTTAGATTGAGATTAAAATTCAAGGGGATGGCTGTGGTTGCCCCCAAATTGTAGAGCACTTTACCCCTGCATAACAGAGCTGCTCCGTCACTGACTCTTTAAAATGTGCTTTTTATTGCCCTGGTTTATAATACAAGCTGAAAAAATACAAATCTCTCTCTCTCTCTTTTGCTGACTTGGAATTTGTAATTAATGGCAGTTTCTGAGGCATCTGGTGTTGGCGTGAACGTGTGATAACATAAGATCGATCATTTATAAATCTCAAAACGATGCCATTCAAAGAGGACCGCAGAACTCTCATGTTTATGGCAGGACAGACGCCGTGTTAAATTTAGTGGTTTTTAATCAAGTAAAAACTGAGCACTCAAAAAGGCACACACACTCTTCATTCTCACCCATAGACAGTAGGAGTGGACAGACCGAGTGCTGATGTCACCATAGTGTTTGCCGAATGTGGAAGAACACAATTTGAACATAAGCTAGCTAGAGCCGATTTCCTAGTATGGGCATTTGTTTCAACAGGGTTAGCTTTGTGTCGTAAAATGGGCAGAGGTGTTGCTAAGATGGTTGCTAAGGCGAGCCGTGTATGAAGGAATCTTTATGTATCATGTGTGGATTAATTTACAACATAACATTTAAAATATAAATGCCAGGATCACAGAGAGCGCTAAAACACAGATCTAAGCCCAAAATGGTGAGACAGACTGATCTTGAGGAGATTACTACGTCCATGAGCACTTTGCTAATGGGCTTCATTGAGGTAGCGGGTTTGCGTCGTTCGTCTATATACAGTCTATGTCCTCACCCTGCAATTTCATCAGGGCCATATCCGGGCCTGCTGCATGGCCAACATGTGTTTTACCTTATTAACCAGTTTTCTTGGTTATCCTAATGAATTATGTATGTTTTTTTTTCCACTTTTCTAAATGTATTCTAAAATATAAATTATAGATTTATGCTGATGAAGCCAGAGTTGGGGATGAAAATGTGGAACAAATGTATTTCTTTACTGGTACTGATGAAATCCCATGAGGGAGATTCACAGTCAAAAGTTCAACAGCAAAAAAATGTTTTGACAATGAAATGGTTCCTGAAAGACTATTCTGGTAAATCAGTTTGTCAACATATATTCACCGTGTGCATTGGAGGAGTTTTGGCTCAGTTTATTACACAGCAGTTACCCTGTCACAAAGTCACAACCAGGAAGTAAAATTATTAATGTAAGAATAGGGCTAAATATGACTTTTTGAATAAAGTAAAAAATTAAGAGTTTTGGGGACTTTGTTTTTTTGGTTTTATGTTGTCTGTTTCGAGTGTGTTGTTTCTTGTCTAGTTTTGTTCTGGACTACGAGTCTGAATTAAAGCTATGACTTTTTGAAAATATTTAGCAAAACCTTAAATATAACCGTCTTGACTGTGTTTTGTGAAACGTAAAGAAACCAGGCATTTTAAATCTATTTGTTGCTGGTTCTGGTTTTTTTCCTTTTTATTTTCTTCAGAATTATCAGTAATAAGCAGTGCTAAAAGTGCTGCAATTATACGGCCAGAGGATTTAGCCCTATGATAAAATCCCGCTCTTGGCAAAACTAAGTCCCTTTCCCTAAAGTTCCAGATTAAAAACAGTAAAAGTTCCATGATTAAAAAAGTTCTGTTTAGCTGTGCATTCAACCAAAGAATTGTATCTTCACTCTTTTTATTGTACAGTGATTATTTATCATTTAATGCCTTGTGTGACTGTTTCCATCTTGTTTTTCAGCACTTTTTTCCCCTGTACTTTTAACCTTGTTTTATCTATGTAATTGTCTGGTGCACTCTGGGGACTTTTGCAAATGTATTCCAATGTGGTTTTACTGCAAATGGCAAATAAAATGAATCTGAATCTGTTGTTTTGAGCTTCTCTTACCTTGCCTAAAAGTTATGATTGACTCAATTGAAAAGTTTCTCTCTGCCTTGGCTTTCTAGTATTGAGCCCATATCAGTTATCTAAGCATTCTTTACATTAAAACTCCATTTGGTTCGTCTTCTAATCAATATTAAGTTACTATTTTTGAGTAAAACCTGAAACGAGTGAATGTGTCCACCAGGTGACATCTTTATGCGAGCAAAAATAAGGAAAGTCATGAAATAAGTAAGAGTAAATATAGTCTATAAGGCTTCACTGCGGCAGAAAGTGGCAGTAGAGTTGATGTTTTAGCTTTTCGTTACCTTGTCTTTCTTAGTTCTTGGCTTCTCCATCGTTGGCTCCAGTGACTGCTGCTCCAAACTTTCATCCCAGAGAGAAAAGCGGATCGGGAAACACTGCAGCAAGAGGGGGAAGAAAAAAACTCTGCAACAACTGAAAGAAACGTAATATTGCAATGTGCGTCTTCTAGTGCGGGAAGAGTTTGGCCTAAATTAGCAATCCTCCTAAAATGTTCCTTGCGTAAAACTGTTGCGGATTAAAGTGCGCCATGATCCCAGGACTTCTCTGTGTAGCGGAATGTTTCTCCTGAGAGGCGGGGATCCGGTCAGACGGCAGCTTCAGTGACGGCTGGTGACGTCACAGAGGGTTAGAGTTACCTGCGCGTTTTTATTACAGGCGCTTTCCTCTGAACAATGGGTGACAGAAGTGGATTATCGTTTGATCATATGGTGGGCTGGGGATATGCCATAGACTGTGCATAGATGGACAGTGCTAATCGGCCTAGCTCAATGAAGCCCATTTGGGAAGTGCTCATGGGTGAAGTTTTGCTCCTTTGAAAAGTAAACTCTTCTGGCTCAGTAACCTTTTGTATCACACCATGTTTGCTTCAATAATGAATAATAATATTATACTGTGATGGGAGACCTCTGGGAACACCAGGTGCCACAGTGGGGCGGCTGCTGCTGTAAAGTGCCAAGCTGTCGTTGTGACCTTAGGCAAGACACTTCATCCACATTGGCCAGAATGAGTCTGGTGTGTGTATGAAAGGTTGGTGGTCGGAGGGGCTGATGGCACATACTTGTTGCCTTGCTTCTGTCAGTGTGCCCCAGGGCAGCTGTGGCTACAGTAGAACTTCATCACCACCGTGTATGGAGTGAAAGAATAATGACATGAAAAGCGCTTTGTAAAACTTATGCATTATTATCATTATTATCAGTACACTGACCATGTTACTTTTTTGACCTGCAATATTTTGTTCTGAAACTTCTGAATGATTATAGTGTTAAACTTCTGTTGTTCTTCATATTGGAAGTAACTTTATGTTGTAATACATAGTGAAGCTAGTTGTATAATGAAATAATTCAGGAAATATAATGTAAATATACGTACAAAAACTTCCTCCTTCTCCTTTTTGAGCATCATGTTCATAAATGTGTGTACTCTTTGTCAATATTTTTATGTTTTTTTTTTTTCATTATTGCTCTGCAAAAATCAATTCTGCGAGTCTAACATCTTGTACATGCAGGTATATAGATGTATCACACGCACATTTATATGTTTTAAGCCTTTGTAGAAAATACTTCAATATTTCCGCAATAACTGAGAGTAGATGACACACAGGTGGGCTCTTTCAAAAATGTCCAAAGTAATGCAATGTACTCAGGTCAAATGAATACTGTTTTACATTTTATTTAAAAAACAAAATCATTCCGGGTGTTTTGATGAATCTGCTGGGTCAAAACACAGAGGGATCAAAACCGGACTGTCCAGTGTAAATAAGAACATCTTGTCACACTAATATAAAGACATGGGAGATATTTACACCAAAAACATCTACATCGTATGATACACTTGAATGTCATAAATATGAACCTTAAAACCTTAAAATCTCTGTTTGAATGTCAGTGCAATGTTCAGTGCAAAGTGTCATCATTTATTAAACACAAGATGGAGTTAAAAAGACACCTACTGTGGGCCATTGTATAGTTTTAAGTCATACTTTACAGATTCAACTTGAATCCAACGTCTGTAAAGCTTACGTTTTATTCTGGTTTCTTTCTGATAGTTTCTTTGATGTGGTGTCTCTGTTTATGGGAGTTCAAAAGCATAATTCTGCGACACAGTCTGTAAAGCCTGGCAGGTCTCTCTTTGGTGGCTCTCTTGTGGTTTGGTCTCCTGATGTTTAGTCTCATCGCCTGTAGATGGCGCTGCTCCTCCATAAGTGCACTGCTTCTGGCCTCCACCTGAGAGAGTTGTGCTCCAACCACAGCCACTCTGCAGCTGTGAGATGAAGCGGAGAGACAGAGATTAGAGGATGTTTGACTGGAGCTGTGTCATGTCATTATTTCAGTGTGCATCAAGGGTCCACTGACATTTGTGCCGCGGTGCATTCATGTACGAAACAGGACTGAGAGACATAGTCCAACAGGAGAGGCCTCACTCCAGTCAGGACGGGCTGGGCTGCCAAACTCTGGAACAATCTGCGAGACCAACATCAACAATAAGTGTAGTGTCAATGATTCACAGACATCAGCATCATCTGAGCTAATCACACTCTCCACTGCATCGTACCTATCTGTGTGTGTCTATCATGAGAGAACTTATGTAACTAATGTGTGTCCCAGTTCACCAGGTCTGCTCCACCACAAATCCACTCATCATTGGGTCTCTGCAACTTTACCTTCAGGTTGAATTATAATGTTATATTTAGTTTGTGGTACTTTTTTGATTCTCCTTTGTTGAGCGTTAGCAAACAGTGAAGAAATGAAGAGAAAGGCTTTTTGGCAAGGTTTGGCATGGATTCGGTCAGTGAGCTTTTGGTGAAACAAGCACAAATACTGGCCTCACTGGTCGATAATTCATGATCAGATTTAGACAAACCCCTGGCTATAGATCTACAAGAGAATACAAGTCATTGTTGCAAAGAATGAAAAATTATAAATCACTAATAATTGAATGGTTTTATGAGCAAGATTTTCACTTTTGAGAGGAGACAGAAATATTAATAGATTAAAAACAATCCCATGCACTCCAATAAATATTAACTAGAAAAGCACTCATAGAGCACAGACCTCCACCTCAAGGCCCAACTCCTTTCCTAAAGAAGGTAACCAGGGATTTCTTTAAAGAATGGCTCAAAAGCAGAGAGCAAATTTCTACCAGGATAAATAATGTTTACCTGAACCTTTTTTTGCGAGCAATGCCATTTTGAGTTGAATGCAAATAAACCCTAGAATCTGATGTGTGTACCTGAGTGGGAGTGAGTGTGTGTGGGTGTGTGTATGTGTGTGTATGCGTGTGTGTGTGCAATGCAAAGAAACATGCTTAATCCGTGTCCAAAACAGTTCTGTATAAATAAATGCCTTTACAGTATGTACAACTAATTAAAAATGAGTCTGCCCTTTTGAATTATATTCATATTTCACCTGCTGGTGCAGTTGCAGTGGTACATTGTCCTTGACTCATTATTGAGAAAGCCATATTTCCTTTGCAGAGGAAGGATCCTGTTCCTGCATTCATCAAGATACTTATAGACGGCACAAGAATCCTGCTTCTCTGCAAGATAAAAATACAAAGACGAGTTGGGACCACGTATTAAATTCAATACACGAAAAAGATATGCATATCATTGATTACCTGTAATGTAAGCATCCGGCAGTGGGAGAGATTGGTTACGAGATCTTGTAGGTAAAAGGGACGCTCTCACTGGTGCATCTCTGCTGGACGGTGGGATGGACAGAGTCTGCAGTTTTGAACCATCGGACTCTGACATCTCAACCTGTGTGATGTTGTGGGCAGAAGGGGACGTGATGTTGAGGCTAGTCCCATTCACATATTTTGGAGCATCTGTTGCATACAAGGTGGGAGAATGGACTTCTGCATAAAGAGCCATATTAGTCTCTTGGCACCTAAAACAAGAGACATTAAAACACTTAATTTCAGAAATATAATTTTATTTAGACACAAAAAAATGGTACTTACATCCCAAACCAGTTTCTCTCGGTACACTGCAGTCTATAGGAGAATACAAAACAGTGCATCTTGAGGAGATTGAAGAATGTGTAACCAACCACATCAGAAATGCTGTCCTGGGCTTCCATCAGACAACTGCGAAATCTATATAATATATTTCACATAACTAAAAGATCTCTAGAATTAGAGGTTATATGGATGATGGAAATGAAATATTAGTATACCTATTATCACAGTCACAATGCGACATAGTGAAGATGTTTCTGTTGAAGACACCAAACTTGGAGTGAAAGGACAGAATTGTGTCTTTGCATTGGTCATGTTCCCGACAACACGTGTCTGTCTCTGAAAATACACCTAATAAAGACAGAGGCCTCTTGAGTTCTTCAGATATACAGGAAATCTGGCTGATGGGTAATTACTTTAAACATAATTAAAATATACCCAAATCTGAATACGATGGCGCTTTGTTACCAGAGCCACACCACAGTGTTCCAGGTACAATGAAACCGCGCTTTACACGCAGTTTAGACTTGACCTCTGACCTCTCATCGTCTCTTGCGGCGCTTCTGACGCGTCTCCTCAGGAAGCTGCGCTTCTCCAGAGCAACAGTTTGTGGAGAATCCAGACAGGTGCAGTGCTCATCAAACGCATGTTCAGAACTTAAGTCTAGATGGTGTGAAAATGCCTCTTTATTCTCCTGACACAAAGTCATATAGTTTTGAATGATTTCTTTGTTGTCGCTGAAGGAGCAGCTCTGAAGAGAGTCAGACCTGATGCTGTGATAGAGACGAAGAGACGCAGCGTCGCTCCGCAGGAAACTGTGGTGCAGTTCACCGTTGGTCAAAACTTTAGTCCATGAGCAAAGGATAGAAGCATCTGTTAAGCCGCTTGTGAGGAGCGTCAAAAGGACAGCGACCAGAGGATAGACGTGCATCATGGTGCGGGCTGAGCAGGAGGCGCACCGTCTGATGATGATGTCTCTTTAAAAAGAGTGACAGGCAGACAGCCTGAGTTTGTTTGATGGCAGAGGGGTGGGAGTTCCGGTCCCTGATAAGCCATGTGAAGTTAACGCGCCATGTGGTCACGTGACAAGTTTCCGGCTTTTATTGATCACATCCTCCACAAATATCAATCCACAAATGTAGTGTAAATAAAGGAGCCTAATGCAGTGGTCCCCAATGCTTTATTCCTCTCTCTAGAACTCTCAAATAATGAAGCAAATACATGTTATTGTTTTTTTTTCTTCACCAGTCAACAGACTTTTGTATTTCACTTTTTGGACATCCAAAGATAATTTACATAACATTGTTCATTCACTTCATACACAGTGGTGGTAACTACTAGACTGCGACCATAGCTGCCCTGGGGCAGACCGACAGAGGCAAGGAATGTCAGTCTCCGCCATCAAACCCTTCGACCAACACCAATTTTCACGCACAGTTATACTCAATGTCTGGGCTATCTATTACACTGCTTTCAGATGATTCCTTTTAACTGGGCCTAAAACATGGCGAGGAATAAAGTAATAAAGCAGATTTATTTCAAGGGACATGCTTTGAAATGTACATTTATTCGTATACAAAATATTTTACAAATCCTTCCAAGTATAGCTCACCAGTTATAAAGCAGTCCATTACATATTCCAGCTGATTTTTTGTTGTTGTTTTTTTTTTACCAAAGAAGAAAATATCAGGGACATGCTGCAATAATGAATGCATAATGATGCAAACCAGCTTCATTATGACTCACAAATTTAAATAGGTGAATCAGGTACATACACTTTCACCTAGTTTGACGACAGACCATTTTTATCTCTGAAAGTCAAAGTTCACAGTTTGCAGCTGCGTGTCGGTTTGAGCTGATTGGTTAAGCCCTCGCCTGAGTGAGACAAAGTTTGTGCCATGTCACGTTATAAATCATCACAAAGAATTGTGCCGCAGACAGTGTTTATTATGATGGGGCCAAACGTGCAATCGTTTTAACAACACGACATCAGTGTGTATTTCAACAATGATATGCACAAAGCATCACATTGGGATGGAGACATGTTTAGTCTGAAGGCTGTTGAACTAAATGTCATGCAGATGCACGTGATGCATGCATTTAGAACCATCGGCTGTAACATGGTTAATCTCATCATGGACATAAACAACAGCATAACACAGTATGTTCAATATTAACACAAATATAACTGAAGGTTTAATGATGCAAGAACTGTGTTCAAGTATCAGCTGAAAGCAGACACTTCTATGACAGGAGCACAGAATCAGCGCAGGAAATGAGGCCAGAGGGACTTTCCCTGTTGGATCGAGACCAAATACGAAACAAAAAAACATTGTCTATTAAATCGAAAAGAAACAAAACCTGTTTAACCTTCACTCTCTGTCACCCATGTGCCTCTATCTTCACATCTCAACCCAGTACTTTTGGATTTTAACTCCATCTACGTTTAGTCTTCAGTGTATCATGAGTGCATTTAACCTGTAATAACAAAGCTTTGAAGAACATCTTTAAGGTAAGATAATCGGCCGATAAGATAAGCAGATGTGTCCTGGGGACCTCAAGATATTTATGTATTTAATACATGCTGTTTATTTCTCATTTTCATAATGTGATGCAAGGTTACGATAACCCAGTATGTCTGTCACTTCTGAAAGAAAATTCAATAAAGCTCAATGGATGTAGATGTAAATGTTTCAATCCTCAACATGCACTGAGCTGTCATTGGACAACACATGCCAACGCTCAATCTTCTTATCTTTGTTCTTCAGGCATTCATACCAATGCTTCAGGCAGTCACCTTTAGCCTGGATACCGAGTTGGCATCCTCCTGTCAAGAACAAAACCAGTTTAATTCCCAGTTTAAGAAGCGGAATAGATTGAGGCGACCACAGCGTGTCCACGTGGAGACTTACCAATAAAGTCATTGGACTTCCCCATGTCATAGTCCCACACTGATATGTCCAGACTTTTTTTGGCCAGATCCCCGTGTTTGATCTCATATGAGAACTCCTGTTACAGAGTGAGAGCAGAGACAGTCTATTAGGTTCATTATAATTGTTATGATTATAATGGAAACAAGAAAAATAGAATTTCAATAATGAGAATAATCCCATCTTGAAATATAACGAACCTCATTAAACTCTGGATTTAAAGTCTTCTTTTTTGTTTGTGTTTTATTTTTTCCTTTTTTCCCCATATCAGGCTTGAGACATCTACCGAAATCAAGCGGTATGAACATAAAAATGTGACGTTTGTAATTGTAATGGGATGAATATTCATGATATGTACATTTTTACAAATGGATCCGAGTAACCGTTGGAGTCCATAGCAGCGAGGTGGGCACAGCGGACCACCCCAACGAGCAGGCAGCTCTTCTGACTGCTGTACGTCAGCGACACAAGGATACGTCCTCGCTCCTCTGAATCCTCACATTCATTCAACTAAGACCAGATAAATCAATATAATACTGCTCTGAACTGGATTATCTGTTAATGGAGGGGACTGTAGGCCTACTCTACTCACAACACTTAAAGCATTACATAACATAGATCAACATTATTATTGCACAATATTTAATCTTGAGGCTGTACTTACATCCTCTTCATACAGAGCCATGCCCCGAGAGGAGCCTCCAGCAGTCTTCTTTACCTGAGCATTTGTTCACTTATGAGATGTATTCAACACAACACAGAGACATATAAACATTTACGTACAACTCTCACCGGTATCACTTTCTCTAAACAAATATTGAAGTTTTTCTTTTGGTTGAATTTGAGTTTCTTCAGGGCCACTCGTGTTTCTCCTATGAATTCGTTGTGTCCAAAAGTGTCTTCATCGCTCACTGAAAGTCTGTTTTTGTGACAAATCAAGTCATTACTGACATTCATTTACATTGAATCAAATGATACCAAGCAAGAACAAAATATTACCGAAGGGTTTTGCGTGTCATTTCCTCATCTGTGATCCCATGGTAAATCAAAGTCTCGTTCCACACTGGATTCAAAGTGTTCTTAAGCGTCTTGGTGCGAAGCTTGTTGGACTAAGGAAAACATCAACGGACTGTATTAATTACAAATGATAAAAATGAATAATGAGGTACAAACATATTAAAGATGCTGTGAAGGAGTAGTCCCCACTCCTCACCCACAGGTGTATCCTTCCTGTTTTATTTTGAAATATTTAACTTTGTTTATTTTTGCCCTGTCCCTAACTTGTCCCGTCTCTTTTCTTGGAAGGTGATTCCTGGCATGCACTGGGCCCATCCCAGTGCATGCCAGGTGCACCCAACTGAGCAATCAGCTGGGCTCCACCATGATCCTCCAAGAGAAGGGTGTTTCATTTGGACTAAACATTATTTAAACATTATTCACACACCACTCCCGTGAAATAACACCACCACTAATTGTATATTATTATAAATTATTATTATTATAACATATCTGCATACATTACAAATGTAAGTAGTCATAAATATTGTAAATAGTACAGGCCTACATGGTTGTGTCCCTGGGTGGGTGGAGGTCTTAGTTTGGGCCACTGTATATAAAAGGGGATGCTTTCATTTGGCTTGGGGTGTTCCTGTTGTGTTCCGGTTGTGTGCATGGGGAGATGCTGCCCAAATAAATAAGTTATCTTTTGTGCAATCTGCAACTTCTGGTCCGGTGGTTATTTCCTGTCCTGGTGAGAGGCTGTTCCAGTGGCTCAAACGCTACACTTGGTGTCAGAAGTGGGATCGTCGTGCCAATCTGCTGAGACTCACAGGACGAGGATGGGACCGAAAAAGGTACCAAAACCCGCAGAACCGGAAATCACCCCAGATAGTGATTCCGAAGGGGGCGGAGCTGCTGGAGGAGAGCCCGCCAAGGCAGAGACACTTATGGGTGCAGACTCCGAAACCCTAGTTTGCATGTTGCGAAAATGTCTTACGTTCCAGTCTGACCTGAGCAAGCGTTGGAATGAAGAAACGCAGAAGCAGGAGGAACGATGGCAGGAGATGGAGGTACAGGTTCACCGACTCAGAGAGGGCCTGACCGAAGTTGCGAGGCGTAGTCCTCAACACCCCCATGTACATCAACAGGAAGAAGTGGAGCCCCAATCTCCCATGCTACGGGAGCATTCGGGGAGAGGCTGGGCCCTGTCAGTGATTCCAAGGCTGGAGGACAGTGATGACGTTGAGCAATATCTCACCACTTTTGAACGCCTAGCGACCGCATATCATTGGCCAGTGGTCGAGTGGGCAGTGAGGCTTGTCCCATATCTGACTGGAAGGGCCCGGGCAGCCTATGTGGCCATGGATTGCGAGGAATCCTGCATCTACAAGAAGGTGAAGGAGGCCATTCTGATGAAGTACGAAATAAATGAAGATGTTTATCGCCAGCGGTTCCGTGAGCCAGACCTGCAGCCGGGAGAAACGCCAAGAGTTTTATAATCTCCTCAAAGACTTGTATTTGAAGTGGATACAGCCGGAGAAGAAGACTAAGGAGCAGCTTGGTGAAGCCCTAGTCTTGGAACAGTTCTACCGTTCACTATCACCAGAGCTGAGGGTCTGGGTGGAGGAGCGCAATCCCACCTCTGGGCCTGAAGCAGCAGAGTTGGTGGAGAACTTTCTATCTGCCAGGCGTGGGCCAAAGATCTTCAGGCTTGAACGAATGTCCAGGAGCAGCGCATTGGAGGGTCACAAAGAATGGCAAAAGGAGGGCCTGGGGTAGACCGTGAGACTGTGCAGCCGCGGCCAGGAGGTTGTGTCTTCCGAAGGGGGAGGAAATGTGAAGGAGTAGTCCCCACTCCTCACCCACAGGTGTATCCTTCCTGTTTTATTTTGAAATATTTAACTTTGTTTATTTTTGCCCTGTCCCTAACTTGTCCCGTCTCTTTTCTTGGAAGGTGATTGGTGGAGGTGCTGGGCTGGAGGCGCGCCCATCCCAGTGCATGCCAGGTGCACCCAACTGAGCAATCAGCTGGGCTCCACCATGATCCTCCAAGAGAAGGGTGTTTCATTTGGACTAAACATTATTTAAACATTATTCACACACCACTCCCGTGAAATAACACCACCACTAATTGTATATTATTATAAATTATTATTATAACATATCTGCATACATTACAAATGTAAGTAGTCATAAATATTGTAAATAGTACAGGCCTACATGGTTGTGTCCCTGGGTGGGTGGAGGTCTTAGTTTGGGCCACTGTATAAAAGGGGATGCTTTCATTTGGCTTGGTGTTCCTGTTGTGTTCCGGTTGTGTGCATGGGGAGATGCTGCCCAAATAAATAAGTTATCTTTTGTGCAATCTGCAACTTCTGGTCCGGTGGTTATTTCCTGTCCTGGTGAGAGGCTGTTCCAGTGGCTCAAACGCTACAGATGCAAATACTGGTAAAAGCATCAGCAGCTCATTCAGTTCTAGACCTGCAGTGTGTGTGCAGGCCGGATCCAGACTGTCCAAAGTACAGCTCAGAGCCTCGACCTCCTTCACCGTGACGTTATGGGGTCAACCATAAGAAGACTGGGCAGATAGGAGTTGGAAGCTTGAGCTGCGTTTGGACTAGTATTCACCAATTGTTAGTCTGGTTAACTTTAACTGGATCCTTCCTGCAAATCTAGAGGAGGGCACAGTATAAGGATATCCGGGGTATTTATTAACATTTATGCACATTGGTCATCTTGCTCCCATGGACCAATGGCTCCTGTGTGTTTGTTATTATTGCATTTCCTTTGTTGAACTGTTAAATTCTCTGATCTTATGCATCAGTTTTATACAGCGCTTCTTTGGACACTCAAAAATGCAATCATTCACACACACCAGACTCATTCTAGGCAATGTGGGTGAAGTGTCTTGCCTAAGGACACAATGGCAGTTTGGTACTTTACAGCTGCAGCCGCCCCACTGTGGCCTGGTGTTCCTAGAGGTCTCCCATCACAGTACTGTTTAAGCCCTGTTTGTGCACATGACTTTCTTGCCAGGAGCAGTAACTCTTATGACACATTTCAAACTCATCATGCAGAGACTGTGGGTCATGGTCAAATAAAAAATAGAAAGTGGGATGCCTCATAGTTTCTGACTGTGGTTTGGAATCTACTGTGATTCCGATGCTACAGGACTTATGAAAAGAAAGCAAACAGGCTCCTTCTCACTCCTAAGAACTCACTATTCAGAAAGTTCTTATCGTGGCGGCCCATGACTCATGGATTTCAATCTTCTGGAGTTCTTGACAATTGGCACAATCGGATCCAGCCTGAGCTGCAGCCTCGGGGAAGGAACTGGGTAGGTTCAACTATAGCTCCTCCCTTTTAAGGCTGGATCAAACCCCCCCAAACAGCATAAATCAAGCTTCAAAGACTTTTTTCAAATTTTCTCAGTGCTAGAAATGTAGCCCAAATAATCAGTTTTTAAACAGTAAAACCTGTTCTAATACTCAATGATGACGTGCTTTTCTGAAGAGAAAATAAAGTAATTCAAGTGACAGAGAATTATGGATCTTTCTACAGCACTTTTCATGTGTGAATACCTTACTGGCGCCGGGTAGGAGATGCAGTTTTACATAGGGATCAGCAAGACCATTGGAATCCATTGGTTTTAAACCCTGTTTCAAATTAAACACACATTGAAAACCACACTCGACTTAATAATGTTATTCTAAGTTTTGTGTGTTGGCACCTTAGCTTTGATGACACAACATTGTAATGTATTGCTCTCCTGTTCGTAAAGGAGGCTGAACTCCAGAGACCCCAGTGTGGCTGCAGAACATAGCACATAAAACATATGAGTTTTTACAAACCTGGCACTTTCAAAGTTTAAATACTAGAGAGAAAGATTCCCACACACGGTCTTACTTGCAAACTCAAAATAATTTATTAGAAGTGCGACGTTTCAGCGTTATGCCTTCATCAAGCAAACATCTTTCAATACTAGAAATATTACACACATTGTGTGTGTATGTAAGTGTAGGTGCAGTGGGTAGTGTCTGGTGACAGTCATGACAGTAACTGTAGGTGTTAGTATGTAGTATGTCGCCAAGAATGTAATGAAAATGCAATAAATGTCTTTATCAGAGATTTCTGAAGTAACAATCAAATCTATTAAATGAAGAAAGGTTTGTAACTCACTGCTGTCGTCAGAGTCATACTCATCCTCTTCTTGTGTTGTCTCTGGAGGAGGCTTCTGTGGAGGGGGGTGGATGGGACTGTTGTTCACTGGAGTGGGTCTGGGAGCTGGAGTGTACGATGGGATGGAGCTGGTCACAAGAGGCTGTCGTTTCTCTTCAATTACTGGAGGGGAGGGAACCTCTTCTCTCTGTGACCGTTTATTTTCAAAATCTGTAACAGAGAGTTGTTGATCTTTTGATCTATATGTTTTATTTATAAAATATAAATTACATTGTTCAATTGCTTGCTTTGACTTTTCCCCTTTACTTTATAATGCACTACTCACGTAAAGGGGACCTACATGTAGGGCTTTTGGGTAAAATGTAAGGATGATCCTAAAATGTGCAAAACCTTCCCAACACATTTGAATGCACACCTCCAACAATTCAATGTTTCCAAACTTTCTGCATAACCTCTGTTTAACCAAAATATTGTTGAAATGTAACTTATCTGTATTTAGACCGTACTAATTTACCAGAGAGCGGCCCTCAGACGTTTGCAGTCGTGCTGACTCTTTCCAGAGTACCTGAGTGATTCTGTTGAACTGCAGCCCGTGGTGGTTTGGAGGCGAACACATGTGCCTCTGTTCTGAGGGCCACTGCGGGACGTGCCGGGCTCTCGTTACCGCCATCCGCAGTGGTTCTCCCCGTCTGCTCCGGTGCGGCCAGCGGCTCAGCATCTGCCCCTGGGAAAGAGAAACAGCATGATACGCTTTAGTCCAGGGGGGTTTCTATAAGCTTTTCACACAGGAATTATAAACCATGAAAACATTCACTGTTATGCCGTTTGTTTAAGTTAGGGATTGACTAAAATTGGATGGAATAATGTAGTATTTGTTTATAAAATTGTCTCTTTAACTGCCAGTTTTTTTTTTTCTTTTAACAAATCAGATCACTACTTTCTATCGGTCTGAACAAGCTGATCTAAAGACACAGGACAAAGCATACATGCATGTGAAAACAAGGGCGGCAGTTGAATGCATTTGATCCATCATAGTTTTTTTGAGGTTTGAAAGTTAGGAACATGTCTAAAAATATACAGAAAGGCGGAAATTCAGAGTCCAGAGAATGGAAGCCCTGCACCGTGTGATTAGGTCAAATTCATCAGAGCAGGATTTTACATCCCCGCTGTAAAACAAACCTGTCTCACAACGGTCTAAACACAGCTCACGTAACCCACGCTTGGTGAATTCTGCTTCAAAATGATAGAAACTGACCACATGGAAGGATGAAAATATGGAAATTAGCCTTAAATTTGCTGCAATCTGTATGTTTAAATATGTGTTGGATCACCTTTGTTTCTTAACCGTCCTAGTCAAATAAATAAATAAATAAACTCTCACACAAGAAAATCAATTATCTGATTGTTTAAACATTCATTATTTACAGTGACGGGCTTTAACCTTTTTTGGAGTCCAAGACAAACTTTTGGGGCCCACGACTATGTTGTGTATTTGGGCAGTTGATCAATTTGGCCACCCCCAATGTTAACATCTGATGGTTCTGATGTGATCGGATGTGGGTGTGGTTGATTACTTGGTTAAATTGTTGGTTAAATTATGAAAAAAAGTGTACTTGGCTGTTGTTGACGTGTGGCCTTCTCCTGTGGCCTCCGTTGATCGTCTGCAGCAGAGTTGGACTCAGAACTGGACTCTCGTTGTTTGGACAGAGGAAGAGGTCCTGGGAGCGGCTGCTGCTCTCGGCCTTTGAAGAACCAAGCACCTGAACGTTTCTGCACCTGGAATACAGAGAGGAGGGCTTCAACAACTCTCTCTAATCTCACATTTGTGTATTTAAGTGACTCTCATCTCTGGTACAAGTTCTATTTGGATTAAAAAAGAGAAAAGTAGGTGTTGAGCCCTATAAAAGAAAAACCTGCATCACTTCCAAAATGTAATCAGTTATTCATTGGAACATAACGCAGATTACCTGAATTTTTCATTAAAAAACATAAAGTCCTCAGGTTGACAATACCAGTTTCCACAGTTATCTCAACAGTTGTCTAAGGTAGGCCTATTCATACATGCGTTATTACTCTATTGTACTTTTGGTTTACTGTGCCTCTGAGGTGACATTTGCTAACCCTAACCCTGACCCATTTCATCAAAATGATCCCACATCCTTGTGTTTCTCACAGACAAACAAACAAGCAGATAAAACTGGTGACCACTTTGTTTCCTGGGAGGCGACAACTTGCAATCATTCATTCAATCCACATATTGAACTTTTTATGAATTGTTTCCAAAGTATACTGCACAATTAAGGGAATATTTTTTTAGGCCAATTTAAATTCTACCAAAAGCTGTGTTACGTAACTTTCAAAAAATAGTTCCTGACTTTCAAACAGTTTGGTTCTATCACTAGTTTTCATTTTTTGTCTCTATTACAGCATCAGATTAGACAGAAGAGCTCTCAGCCCAAAGTCACAGACATCTGCACAATAACAAAGATAAGTAATCCAGCTTTACTTTACCTTAACATTTCACTCAGCAGTTTATGGCAAAGTATTTCCTTTTTTTGCATGTAATTTGAATACATTTCCATCTCACAAATGGAAGGATTATTATACTGCCACAAACCCAAACATTTATGTATCCTTCCAAATGCTTAGTTCCAATTCTGAGAGGTGTGAAAGATAATTTTCCAGCTCAATGGGCAAAAGGAAGGATACAACGGGGCTCGCTCAAGAACGGTAAACCCAAAAAAATGTTTGTTTTCTCACCTCTTGATGTTCGTTGCAGATTCGGCACAGCCACATGGGGCTGGACCGGCTGTTGCTGTAGATGCCACATTTACTGCACATGTGCTGCAAACAAACAAGTTAAAGGGTGAGATAAGGAAAGAGTAATGTTGTGAAACGTTGTTCAAATAAAATAAGTTTATATTGAGTTATTTATTTGGTTTAAATTAGTTTTCACAATTGGTTTTCCACAAGATGAATATATGTTGTTATTACACTGTTTTTTGTTATTTATTTTTAATTTTGCTGAGCTATAATCACAAGACTTCATGAGAACTGGAGACGATGGAGCTGCAAAGTGGGTGGAGCTTATAGTTCCCAAAAGTACAATTCTCCATTCAAAATCCCTATAAACAAAATATATCTTAGAAATATTAGGGGATGATCAGCTGTCTGATGAGTACCATTGATATGTAAAGTATGCTTCTTAAAAAAGTTAAGCCACATTTGACATTTTAACTGTGTTTCTTTCAACAAAAACCACTGTGTTGTGGTTAGTAGATAGCAGGTAGCAATTTAACTACCTGCTATCTACTGTGGTGACAGTTTTTGGAGTAATTACATTAAAACCAGCCGCAGCAAATACACGGACGTCAAAGGCCTTTTATCAATGCAGACGACCTTCTGACGCCATGCTGAGCTTTGTGAAGGTCCCTGCTGTCTGTCACACCCTTGTGTCTTTCCGTCTTGCATCTGTATGACCTGCATTTCCACCATTGTCTGTCTGTTCACACCCCATGCCACTGCCACCACAGGGGATAGCGCCAGCGCTTCCTGTGCGCCTCCTCACCGGTGGCCCCCTCCGCTCCGTTGTGGGCGTGACTATCTTTGGTGTGTGTCTTGTATACAGGAAGCTCGGGGCTCTGGCCCCCAGAGCTGGGACATGCTGCTTTTGGAGTGTATGTGCTGGCTCTCCGCACTGTGCGTTAACAATAAACTTACGCTTTTGATCAGACAAAGGACCTTTGAGTTTCCTCCTTCATGGGGTATATAATTCTATAACAATTTGGCGTTGCTGACATGTCTTGGCATGGATACTTTCGGCGGGGACGAGCGGCTTTGTTTGGCCGACCTGGATCACCAGCCTCTGTTCCTTTTTGGAGACAAAGGAGGGCGCGCTTGTCCCGCGCACGGAAGGAATCCTTTTGCCACACAAGACCAAAAAGAACCTAATCTGGTGAGTCTTGTCTTTTCATCTGCGTAACGAGCCCAGGGCAGCACTTAAGTGTACACGGGGATTTGTTTATTTATGTATTTTTGGGGTATTTCATTCATTGCCACAGCATAGTCTGTGTGCGGGATTTTTTGGGGGCTTTTTGTTCTAGATTGAAACTAGCGGCTGCGCGTTAGTATCGCATTGTAAGCGACCCTGGAATCTCTGAGTGTCTTCAGCCAGAACCGCTCCGTTTTCAAGAACGCGCGCTCGCTGGTTGAACCAGCGGGGGGGGAACGGAGCGCCCCAAAGTGGGTAGGAGCAGGGAGAGACTAAGCGGGTTAGGCCCATTGTTCGTACGAGAAAATGGGTAAAAAACAATCTAGAAGATGCAAGCTATGAAGTGCTTGCCTATGGTGCAGGTCATCTGCGTGATAATTTAGAAGAAGAAGGGAAGAAAAAAAAAAAATAATATACTTGGTTTTAAGAATATCACGGCAAAAGAGGTTAGAGAAAGAAATATGTAAAAACAATAGCTCCTCCGCTTTTCACCTAAGCGGAGAACACACAGGCGCACACACACGCCCTCTCTCACCTACTAACCCTTTCACACTAGGAGCAGAACTCCATGCTAAGTACGCGCCCAAACGAGGCGTTGGGTTTTTAAAAAATGAAGCAGACTACTGTTGTCTCTTTTCCCTCTCCCTTATCCAGGTCTGTCGGCGCCTTTCCTCCGCGCTCTGTCCTCTGCCTCAAAGCACCAGCCCCACGCCCCAACCACAGGCGGCGCCCGCACCAGCTGAGACCCCGCGAGAAGTGGGCCCAAACCGCAGAAGAAGAAGAGGCGGAAACAGACACACGCTCAGGAAACCACAGAAGAAGAAGCGAGGGAAACAAATATGTGAGACACCGACAACTGCTTTGGAGCACAGAGAGAAACTGCTCCAAATCCCGTGACTGTTCTCCACGGAGGGGGCAGCGTGATATACCAAAACGCACCCGCGGAAACCCGCTTGAAAGTTGTTCCCGCACCGCAAACAGAAGAAGCCATTGTGACCGGCACGTTTGGGTTATTCACCAACCCTCATGGACCACATGCTAACGCTTTGGGCTACCTGGGCCTCCTGCGGACTTTGAAAAACTTCCACAGCCCGGCGGAAAGACTGTGTGCTCGACATGGGTCGAAGGACTGTTACCGGAGGAGGCGTTAAAGGCAGAGGAACGCTCAAGCTAACACGGGGCCAGAGGACGGCAGAGGCGGGCGTGGAGGAAACACGAGCGACTGACCAAACCTGGGTTCACATTCGTCACCAAAGCGACCGCTCATGTAAGTTGAACAACAACAAATTGTAATTGGCACTTTTTAGAGATAATTCATGCCCGTAATATACGCTAACAACCTGTGGTGTACAAGTTAAAATTCTGGATGACTCCGGGGCAACAAATTCTGTGCTAAAAGTGACAGCCTTTCTGTCTCCCCTAAAATGAGCGGCCGCTTCATATTCTAATTAGCAGCGTCGGAGAGACGACTAATGAGCAATTTACGTCACCGCTAACGTGTTTTGATTCTCAGGGCAACCAGCTTAAACATTCTTTTCTATATTCCCCATTGTCCCCGGTTAATCTACTAGGCCGAGACCTTATGTGCAGACTCAATTAAAAATAGATAAATAAAAGGAGGCACCGGTCCCAAAAGTTAACTACCACTGGAAATTGACACCAAACCCTGAGATTGCTAAGTTATTAGCCACAACAAGTGGATAGTGACGCCCGCACAAAATTTGGAGGTCAACCACGCGAACGACCTAAGCTGCTCTCTCCGGTCGTTCCCAGACAATAACTTGGAGTTTGAAAATTCATGCAGTGTAGGGAAGATAGGCTAACGGAGTACGTTTATTGAGATAGGCACCACTATCTGTGCTACTTAATGAGCAACAAAAACATTTTTATCGTGAAACAAAGGTGAAGTATTAAAGTTTGAGACTAATTTACATTTTTAATGAATCCGACCTGGCTTTATTGAAAAAGAAAAAAATAAAAAATAAGGAAAATAAACATTTTTTAGGTGACAAGAGCTCATTAGAGATATAGGGGACACAATCTGTGATAAGCCCGAAGTATAGACCACGTGGTAAACACTAAAGTTGGAAATGGATCCTTTTAGGAAAACTCTTTTAAAGCTCTGCAGGCTCTGAAAGTTGCAACAATAAGAAATAGCTCATGAGACAATTGGAATTGGACATGGAAAAATATAACAAAGTTAAAAGTACAGGCCTTCTGTGTTGTTATATGTTTTGTGTATGTTATATGTTTGTGTGTCATGTCAAAGTACACCACGCTGACCTTAACAAACTCTGGACCAATACTAACGTGGGGATCGGCCTGTGATGTGACTGTGATATGAGTGTGATGTGTGAAATAAGGAGTGAAATGAGGAGTGCTGAACGGAGAATGGAATAACAAATGTGTCTGTAATGTTTTAATGTGATCATGGAATAATTCTTTTTTGTCAACAGCATACGGTGTAAGTACTAGAGATTCAAAGATAACGACCTTTATTGAACAGGTGTAAAAGTGAGAGTACTCTGGGATGAGTACTCTGAGAAAAGTACTCTGCGGAAAGTACTCGGAGATGAAATACCTCGCTGAAGATATTGGGAGTCCCTCCCTCTGCTGTTTGCCCTGACAGTGATTCGGTCCAACCGCAGTGAGCGGTCATTGGGCGGAGGACAACTTTGGTCTGTAAACTCACATTTAGGGGAGTATAAAATTAGAAACATACATTTTGTTGTTCTGTATTTGGCTACAGCCTCCGCCCTGATGCCACACACCACCTGTCAATGCAGTTATGTTTTGCCCAATTGGGAAAAAGATTGACAAGCGAAAGTGGGCATTTTTTGTGTTTTTTTTTGTGTTCTGATATTTCTTTTTCAGATGAGAGATAAACTACCCCTGCTCCAGGGATGACAGTAGTATGGATCAGGAGGAAATGAGCCTCCACTTTGGCACAAAAGCCCACAATATGAATTGAGGACGATCCGGGAGAAAAGCAACTGGAGATGAACGGAACAGTCGGTACTTTTGCAGCCTCACTGAGGGCCACTGAGACCCACTGCTTACTTCTCAGCAAAACTCGATCCCGTGGCAGCAGGGTTGCCTCGCTGCCTGCGGGCTGTGGCTGCCGCTGAGAAAGCGGCCCTAGCATCACGTGACCTTGTGGGATACACTGAACTAACTTTGCTTGTGCCCCATGCTGTTTCCCTGATCCTGTTAGAGCAGAGGGCCTCTCGCCTTTCTGCGGCTCGTTGGCTGGGGTACAACACGGTGCTCTTTGAACTACGGTGAAGGGATGCACACAGCTGAACCCCTCCTCGCTGCTGCCCACGCCAGAGGAAGGGGAGGCACACTGCTGTATCGCCACAATAGAGCAGAGATGCACTCCCAGGCCAGACCTGAAAGAGGTGCCTCTGACTAATCCTGACTTGATTTTTTTTATACAGACGGAGCGGCGTCACGTGACAACACTGGGAAGAACCGAGTCGGCTATGCTGTGTGTTCTGATTTTGATACTATAGACTCTGGTAGTTTGCCCCACTACCACTCAGCACAAACCGCTGAGCTGGTCGCGCCCACCGGGGCGTGTGAGCTGGCAGCGGGCAAAACTGTTAACATATTATGTGATACGCGCTATGGTTTCTCTGTGGTGCACGACTGGGAAGCACTGTGGAAACACCGCAATTGAAATGAAATGAAAATGAAAATGAAATCTGATGGTAAACCAATTCTTAATTCCACACAGGTTGAACGTCTGCTGAAAGCTGTAATGTTGCCCTTAGAGATCGCTGTATGCAAATGCCAGGCCCACACTAATGCCACTGATCCCATCTCTGCAGGGAATCGGCGCGCGGACAAGGCAGCGGCATACGCACCTCTACACACACACACACACACTACCTCACTCAAGACGTTGATATTTTCTACTCCAGCAGAGACGCTGCTGTGAGAGGGGAATGGGGCTCAACGACGGCATGGTGTGTGTGGCTGGGACCAGACAGCAAACCGTGCCTACCACGGCATTTCTTCAGACAGTTTGCAATTTTAGCACATGGTCGAGACCATGCCTCAAAAGGAGGGATGATGTGTGATTTAATCACACAAAATTGGTATACAAAGGGGTTTACGGCATTTGCACAGAGATTCAGCCAAACATGCGCTATATGCCCCGCGCACAACCCAGGTAAGTCCCAAAAGTATCCAACAGGCTGCTCATCCTCCGCCCCTGCGCCCATTTCAACATGTCCAAAGGGACTTTGTTGAACTCACACCATGCCAAGGTAAGTAATACTGTCTGGGTCTGGCGGATCTCTGGTCCAAATGGACTGAAGTATTTGCAGGCATACACGCCACAAGCAACGCGGTGGTGAGTCACTTTGTAGCAAAAGTCATTGAGGAAGTGGGTGAATTTCTGGGCATTGATATACGTAAACACTGCAGTTACGCCCCCTGGCCCGGAGGCGCGTGCGAGCGAGAGAATGGCACTCAAAGCTCTGCCGCTAGCCCTCATGTACATGCGCATGAGAGTCCCATTCGAAATCCTCTGTGCCAGACCACCCAACTTGGGCGAGGGACCCCCGAACAGAGATCTGCCAAGCACCTCTTTGTGTGATGACGACATGCTGTCCTATTGTAAGGAAATTAATGCACTTTTGTCCTCTATTTCTGCCCAGGTCAGGAGCGCCCTGCCACAGGCTGCGCAGGCGACTGGGTCCTGGTGAAGGAAACGAGACGAAAGCACTGGCGGTCCAAGCGCTGGCTCGGCCCATTCCTCGCCCTCCTGGTGACGGACACTGCCGTTAAGGTCGCGGAGAGGACAACTTGGATCCACGCCAACCACTGTCGTGCGGTGCTGCCACTGAGGGCCATAGACGAGGACACCGAGGGCGCGGACGGACCAGGCCCATCCGCGGCTCCCTACGATGAAGAAGTCGGCCGGCGTGCGGCCACCGTCGGTGAAGCAGGCCAACAACAACACCCAGAGAATCCCAGCGTTCCCGAGGCGACCCCCCTTTTTGCCCAACTCCCCAGCCCCCGGATCCCAAGGCTTGGGAGCCATGAAGGCCCTGAGCGCTCTGCTCAGCTGCAGCAAGTATGCAGAGCTGCTGCCCATTCCAAAGATTTCTCCAGAGCTTGTTCCCTCTGGCCATAATGCAGATTTGAGCTCTGCTGGAGTGCCCCCCTGGTGTCTCGTCTCCCGTGTGTCCGGAGGAGGTGGAGGCTGCTCTACAGTTCCTGATGAGGCACATGGTGAAGCGTGCTGTCATGAGGTCTCCCATCAAATGAGCTTTGGGCCTGGCCGATCTGGAGCGTGCTCAAGCCATGGTCTCCACACCCCAAACCCCGAGCACTCTGCCCAACCGAGTGCTGAGGCCAAGGCTTCAACGCAATTAGAGTCTTGCCGCTCCAAGACCAAACATCGCCATGACCACTAACGCTCCACACACGCTCATAGGGAGCGGTGCCACTGACTGCGAGACGGCACTGCTCGTGAGTATTCCCGCGGAAAAGACTACCGAACGTAGCCCGGCTAAGACCGGCATGGGCCCTTGGACTGTTATGCTGGCCACACTGACACTACTTTCCGTGCTGACCGTGTTTATTATGTTAATATTGCCTTCTCTTATCGCTGTCCGGATCCATTGTGTTATTATAATGTGCTCTTTCTTTTATTGACAAGCATGTGTCTTTTCTTGTCCACTTTGGACAGCAATAATTTAAGTGTTTCAAGCTTGAAGGTGGTGTGATTACGATGCCTCTGGTATTTAACTGATTAATGCAAAAATGGTTTTGAATTATCAAAAGAGGGGAGTGTGGTGACAGTTTTTGGAGTAATTACATTAAAACCAGCCGCAGCAAATACACGGACGTCAAAGGCCTTTTATCAATGCAGACGACCTTCTGACGCCATGCTGAGCTTTGTGAAGGTCCCTGCTGTCTGTCACACCCTTGTGTCTTTCCGTCTTGCATCTGTATGACCTGCATTTCCACCATTGTCTGTCTGTTCACACCCCATGCCACTGCCACCACAGGGGATAGCGCCGGCGCTTCCTGTGCGCCTCCTCACCGGTGGCCCCCTCCGCTCCGTTGTGGGCGTGACTATCTTTGGTGTGTGTCTTGTATACAGGAAGCTCGGGGCTCTGGCCCCCAGAGCTGGGACATGCTGCTTTTGGAGTGTATGTGCTGGCTCTCCGCACTGTGCGTTAACAATAAACTTACGCTTTTGATCAGACAAAGGACCTTTGAGTTTCCTCCTTCATGGGGTATATAATTCTATAACACTACTAACCACAACACAGTGGTTTTTCTACTATCTACTATCTATCCTGTCTTGGTACTTGGAATTTGAAATATTATGGATCTATCCAAGCATTTGAATTGAGAATTTAAGGTCCACTTTGCAGCTCCATATAAGGCCCTCAGGTTGACAATATGTCCCAGAGCGAGAGCCACGCTTTTTGACAGTTTCCACAGTTAGCTCAACAGCTGTATAAGGTATAAGGTAGGCCGATTCATACATTACTCTGTTGTACTTTTGGGTTACTGTTCCCATAAGACCTCTGAAGTGACATTAGACCAATAGGTTTCTTTTCTGCGTTACCAAAGGGGAAGAAATACTATTGTACCTTTATTTGTCCTGTGGTTTTTATGGCGTTCAAAGACATATATAGCTTTTGTGAAGGCTAATAAATCAAAAGATTTAATTGTCAGATGGAGTCGGCAGGAATGAATTTTGCAGCAGAATGCAATAACCCTTATATGTGCTACTGACGGCAGAAGGTGAAACATAAGACCATTAATAGTCTGTCACATGAGGTTAGAATACGGTCGGCTTGTCATGTATTATCTCTATAGGAAGCCTCCAAGGAACAACACGCTGCTCTGATCGTATGAGTAACGAATGCATCTGCTGGGACCGCACACCTACTTTGTTGCAGTGCGCGCAGAGGACAGCTGTGACTCCCTGTGGTCCAAACCCTGCCCCACATATGAGGCAGAGCGACTGGCCATCTCCACACGCAGTCTTCTTAATATTATCCAAACGAGTGGAGAGCCGCCTGCAAACACATGCTAATCACTGCATGTTGTGATTCATATCAGCAAAAAAAAAAACTACTATCCAACTTCAGGGAATTAGAAGAGTAAATACAAGAAGATCCTACTCAATCATATGTCAACTTAAACTCTGCCTTTTCTGCAGACTACAGATAGAAATTACTTTGAACTACAACTACATATTTTGATCTGTGATGATTAATAATACAGCTCACAAAGGCATCGACAGTCCAAATTCGGGGAATATGAATACTTGAAGATGCTACTTGCAATATGTCAACTTAAACTCAGCCTTATCTACAGACTACAGATGCAATGGTCTGTTTGATAATAATAATAATAATAAATCTGTGTTTACAAAGCGCTGCGCAGTCAGCATAATCAATGAAAATAGCCCATAAAACAATCTTAATAATGCAATGTCAAAATAATCAACAGTAGGAGAAAAAAAAAATCTGTAGATACAGGAAGACAAAGCAGACAGAGGACAAGAAAAACCAAGACAATGTGGAACAGTAAAAGTTTAAAAACAGTAGCTAAAAGCTGGTCGATAAAAGTGGGTTTTAAGAAGTGATTTAAAAGAGGCTAAGTTTGTGTAAGCTCTCAGTCACAGAGGAGGATACTGATGATGCTAGCCTTATCTCCTTGGGCAGGTCATTCCAGAGCTGAGGAGCCCAGACAGAGAAGGCTCGATCACCATTCGTCTGGAGCCTCGACCTTGGAACAGTAAACAGGGACCTGCCCGAGGATCTATGGCTTGTAGAAGGCTAAAGTTCATAAATATAGCTTGGTGCCAGACCTAAAAGAGCTTTAAAAGTGATCAGTAAAACCTTAAGATCAATTCTAAAACACACAGGGAGCCATTGGAGGGATACTCTGTTAAAACCATTCCAAAGAAACAGTTCAAAGTGTGATAATTAAAAACACATTTTTGAAGAGAAGTTTGCTTGATCTTACGCAATCCTCTGTTGCTCCGTGGCCTCCATCATCGCAGCACGAGCCAGAACACTGTTGATGATCTCCTTTTCCTCATCTGTGAGTTCTGCTCCGAGGGAAGCGCCGGACATGTTCATTATTCTTCAAATCTAGACCAAAAAGCACATCCGCCGACACAGTTGTAAGAGGCCACTCCAAATCTGTCAAGTCCAATGACCATGCTTTCTCACAGTGGGACGCTGAGAGCCCAGGACATCACAAACTCTGTCACGAATATTACACAACAAGATGTTTTGTGAAGTACACTATAATGATGTCATAAAAGTGCTGAAAATAGAGAAAATCAAACCCTGCATTTGATCAGGATATAACGCCAGTGGTGGAAGGATGTATACAAGTGTAAATATTCAAGTTAAGGAAAGCACCATCAAAGTTTGGACCAGCACAAATATAAAGAAAATATCGAGTCAACATTCCTGTTATTTCTGAACCTGTAAGTGTGTGTTCTTGTTTGCGTTTGTTATTTTAGTCCATACTGTTTGTTCTTCACTACATTTGAAATTATCACTCACATACTGTAAATTGGAAAGTGAGGATGTCAGGGCCCTGCTTCCATCACTGTGTGGAGAGAGAGAAATGTAGTAATATAGTATCTGTAATTATTTTATTTTAATTTTCATACCTTAGAAGTGTTTGCGGATTTTTATTTTGTCTTACTCTTTTCTTTACCTCTCTTATTTGACTGTTGCACCGAACCAAAGCAATTTCCTGGTCTGTGACTTTCTGCTTCTTACATGGCAATAAAAATGATTCTTATTCTGATTCTGAAATACCCACAACAATCAAAAAGCACTTTGTGACTCTTGGTGAAAGATTATTACCAACTTACTGACTTACTTACTCACCCACCCACGTACTTACTTACTCACTAATACTTACTCACTTACTTAAACGTATGATCAAAGAGGCCATTCTTTTGTGCTGTGTATAAATTATGCATTCTCTCACTATATCCATTTCTTTCTTAGTTATATCTCTCAGGTCAGCCATATATTAGCATGTGTTTGATGTTTGCACAGACTTTGCGAGATAACACTGAGGTCTAAATTTATCTCATGCATAATTTCCAGAAGCTTTGAAATGTTGTGCCACGTGCAGCCCTTGAAGAAAAAAACAAAAACACAGTGGTTATCTAGTGTAATAACTCCTGCTCCTGTAATGGATGTTGTACATATTTTCTGGGAATTAAATCATCAGTACAGGCATGATCTAACCCTCAATGTCAACTCTTGAACAGAATGAGATGAAGTCAGTGATGAGAGCAGTGCATCATGGGCTTGTCATACATGGCCAGAGGGAATTCACCAGCCGCTGCTGTGATGCGGAGGTGCTACTTGGGAAACACAACTGATATGAGCTAATTTAAGCCATCATAGTTTCAGCCGCCTCTTTTTGTCGCACGTTGGATAATACCGGCCCCGACATCTGAGGCTCATATGCAAAATGACCACACCTTAGTCGCACAGCTGCGCAAAGAAGCAGTGCATCAGTTGAGTCCAATCTTTGAAGAATAAGTGCTGATCCTTTGCTTCTGCATGGTGTCTGAGGGGGCTGTCTGTGTGGGGTTTGAGGTTTGCATGTTTCTCACCGTGTCTTTCAAATAATTTTAAGAATTGGAAATTCTATTTATTTTTGTATAGACCTAAAACACCATTCATCTCGGAAGAATTTACAAAGTTGCCGATTTACCAAACAGATCAGAGTTCAGATATAGGAACTGCATTAATAACAAACACAGTAGACATTTGCCCAACAGTGGCGGATTGCCAATGTCCATAAATGTACACTTTATTCATCCTCATAGCGAACTTTGTCCTCTGCCTTTGACCCATCCTGCAATGCCACAAGGGCCTCTGCAAAGAGCAGTGGTCGCCCTGGTACAGCACCCGGGGGCTGATCTTCAGATGTTGATGCTCAGCTTGGTCAGGACCACCGTAGCTGGAGGATTTACCTAGTGTGCTAGTTTTTAGTGGTAGGAGAAACAGGATCACTCGGAGGAAACATACTAAGCTTTACTTATTGAGCTTTTTAGCATGTAACTTGCAACTCTCCGTGCTTTTTAATTGCCCCTTGGGGATAAATAGAGTGATTGATTGATTGATTGATTGAGACAGGAGAGAATATGCTCCACTCAGAAAGACACTGATCCCAAAGGGATTTGAATCCAGGATCTTCTTGCTGAGAAGCGAAAGTGCTAACCACTGTGCCATGGTTTATCAACATTATAAATGTTAATATTAAATAAATGTCCACAAATGCATTGGCAAGGAACAACAACAACAAAAACGAGAAACATGGGTGGATTTCCTCAGAGCTGGTTCCTCCCACTGCCCAATGACATGCATATGTAAAATCCAACAGTGAAAGTCCTCAGTCCAAGCCAAGCATCCCCCCATCTGGAGATTGGCCCCCGAGTGCTGCACTGTAGATAAGATAAGATAAGATAAGATTTGCTTTATTTATCTCACATAGGAGAAATTTACTAGAGACTGTCCTGACAGGTTGCTAGGTTGAAGGATGGATCAAAAACAAAAAACACATTTCTAAGACACCAGACCTCTCCTTGCCAAGTAGTTAAAAGAAAACTCCCTGACTTTTGTGCTGAGTGTTCCTCATGAGCATGACAGACTGACAGACTGACTGACTGACAGACGGACTGACGGATAAAGCTTAAAACGTCTGAGCAAGCAAGAAATGAAAGTGCTTCTCTGTTAAGTCGTTAGAGCTCGCAAATGTGTGTTCTACAAGTAAACAGCCCTCACATCAGAGGCTGGTGGTTGAATCATAATAAGGTTTTTGAGTCTAAACAAACAATGTAAAGATGTCGCTTGTAAATGTCAACGCTGAACCTCGCTGTGAAGAGATGGGATTCTACGTCTGATAGGGGAAAAGTCAAACTCCAACGGTAATTTGTGAATGACTCTGACAGCTCTAATTGCAATTAGTAAAACCTCAAGACCACCTAATCGATGAAGACATGGCACATTTTCCCCGGCAGATAAGAGAATTAGTGATACTAGGAGCAGTGGGATTGCAGAAGTTGACCAAATGTGTTCTGATCCTGGATTTTTACTGGTTTAAAAAGGCAAATGTTTGTTTATCTTTCTGTCTATTGTCAAACAGCATAACCTCCTGTGAATTGTAATCTTAGCGTACAAAGAATTAGGTCAAAGAGTGCTTTTTTGGATGGTGAAAAGAGAAATTATAACTTATTTTACTTCAATAACATTTCATAAACTGTGATTCTTCTACTGCTTTTGTTTATATACGCGAGGAGGACATCATTACATCTCTGAGTTTACAACATTGTTACGTTGCCGGAGCATTGTGAGATTAACATGGATGACATATTGGGGTCAGCGGTGGCGCTTCTTAACTTCTTAATGGCTGTAATAACCTGAGCATCTCTGCGTAACATGAATCAATGTATGACAGCCCTATCTGATTCTCAAAGTCACCTTTTCAGAGGAAGCCAGGTCATGAACTGCTTATAAATGACACCCCACAAACTTTAACCCCAGCTGAACACTGCAAAAACATGTGAACTTGTCTTTGACTTCAGTCATAGCAGTTCTCACACTCCTGTTGTTATTGACAACTCCCAGGTGCAGATTGTAGAGGAGTGCAAGTTTCTGGGTTTAACTCTGTCTAACGACCTGAAATGGGTTAAAAACACTGACCGGGTTGTTAAGAAAGCTCGTCAGCGGCTCTTCTTTTTGCGGAAACTTAGAGAATTTACCACTAACTCTAAGATTCTGCTTAATTTTTATCGCTGCACCATTGAGAGTTTACTTGTTGGTTCTGTGTCTGTGTGGTTTGGAAACATCACAGATAAAGAAAAGAGAGCTTTAAACAAGGTGCTCCGCTCTGCAAAGAGGACCGTGGGCTGTGAGCTTCCTGTTCTGGAGGTTCTTTACAGATCCAGACTTTTAAACAAAGCTCTTAAAATCATCAATGACTCTTCTGGCCACCCTGGGAAAGCCATGTTCCAGCTTCTTCCCTCTGGCAGAAGATATCGGTCACTGAGATGCAAGACATCTCGCTATGCTAACAGCTTCTTCCCACAGGCTGTTAGGTGCCTAAACAGAGCATTTTAATTTCTGCTTTTACCTGCTTTTAAACTGCTTTTACCCCTTGTATTGTTTTGTTGATCTGTGCCACAGTGTCAGCTGTTTTTTTATTGTTTTATGTTCAGTGTATGTGTGTTTTGTATTGCATTGTGTCGTGCTTTTGTTCTGTCGGTGCACACGGAGTGCCTTTCTTGCGAACGTATTCCAATGTGGTTTTTTAACTGCACATGGCCAAATAAATGAATCTTGAATCTTGAATCTTGAATCTTGAATTTTCCCCGCACGCGCCCTCACAATCATATCAAGGGGTTGTAAAAGACGTTCATGTCTGTTATAAAACATGAAAAGATAGATGATAGATAGGTACTTTATTGATCCCTGTAGGAGAATTTAAGGTGTGCAGCTGCAGAAACACATGCATCTATACAAAATGTAGTTACAATAATAATGTAGTGCATACAGTATATTCAGAAATAACACCTTTTAATCCACGCCTTTAATCAGGACTGATAATACTTCATATGTTTCCATGGCTGTTCATAGTTATAATAGATAGGTAGGACATGGACATTTGCATTGGCCGTCCAGTGTATTTATAACTGGACGCAGAGGTCTTCCAATGAAAGAAGGCTCTTATCAAACATGTCTCCAAAGAAATTCAATTCAAATTATTCTTGTATAGCCCTAAATCACAACAGTAGTTATCTTTGAGGACTGAACACAACCGTAGACTTTACCAACACAAATCAGAGAATCAAACAAGAATTTATGATGAAAAAAGAATTAACACACATAGAGCCATTTGTCCATAAGGGTCAGATGACCAATGTCCATGAATGTTGATAAATGTCCATAAATGGGTTTGAATGCTGAGTGTCCTGGATCATCACCAATGTCCTTTTTGTTAGATCCTCCTGCAATATAATTCTTACACAAACTACTCTATATTGATATTGTTTGATAGGGCATTTGTTGATAAGAATGCCATAATTGTTCATTAAAAATAG